AAAAAAAAAAAAAAAAAGCAAGAAGCGCAGTTAGTTTGTAGGAGGAAGCAAGCGCGCAGGCGGTGTGAGGGCCGCGGCATAAAGACATGCAAGCAGCGCTGCTTCAGGGCGGCCAGACTGTTGATGAAGTAAATCAAATAGACGGGAAGACTAAGCCAAAGCAATCACACTCCAGCAAACAAACCAACTAATAGACCAAACCGCGAGTGGGTGAGTGGGTGATGATTGTGCGCACCGGTGAGCGATTTCTTACCGCACCGCCACTTTAGTGCTAAATTCTTGCTTGTGGTCTTCATGCGCGCCATCGTAGTACAAAGTATAAGAAGGCAGCGCGCGGCGGTGGAGCGCTGAGGACGAAAAAAATGCACAAACTATTCAAAGCGAAATAAAAGCAACGCAAGCGCCACTTGAGTTATGGCTGTGTAGCAAACGTTATACGCCCTATTAATGGATTGAAAATTTAGTTTAAGAAAGGGCGAAAAAATGCGCCACAAATAAGCCAAACGAGACAGACAACAAAAGGACAAATAAAATGCACCGTAAATAAATAGAAAAATGAACAAAATACGATTTGAAGTTGGGCGCATGTGGAATGCAAAATAAAACCTATTAAATAACTACACAAAAGGTGTGCCAGTCAGCAGCAATAACAACGGCGTGCAGTGATGATGTTTCAACTGCTGACTGTCTGCCAAAATAAATGCCGCCAGCTTGGGAGTGTTTAGCTTTAGCTGGCTGGCTGGTTGGCTGACTGAGTGACTGGCTAGGCTAATACGACTCGAGAAGGTACGAGTACTTGGTGGTGCGATGGTGCCTTTAGAGCGCATTATAATAATCAAAACTGTTGTAGTTGCATGAAATTAAATTTGAAACTACACACCAGCAAAAAAAAAACGCAGGAAAATGAGCGCAAAAAGTAAAAAATAACAAACAAAAAGCGTAAGCAAATAAAGCTATGCCGAGTGCGCGCGCGGTGACACCACCTTCGCGTCGCGCAGGAGATGAGCTATCGCAGCACGGCGCATAGCTTTGGCGCTCGCATCTGACTTTTCAAAGTAACAGAATTTATCAACGGGGCAAAAAAAATTTTAAAAAAATTAAAAGCGAAAAAAATTCAACTGCAACGCGCAACAAACAGTAGCGTAACAAAAATACATTGCGCACATGAAGCAGCGAGCCAACGAGCGAACGTGCAAAACCAAATTTTAATTAGCTGCGAGCAAATGCATAATGACTACATACAGACCTCACTACATATGTATATACACAGTATGTCCGTCCGTCAGTTGGCTGAGTGACTGACTGGAGTGCTGACGACGAGGCCACCTAGCAGCTGTAAAGTGAGTGGGACGCTACCACTGCCACTGCCGCTGATGAGACAGCGGAGACGACACCCCGAGTCAGCAGGCAAGCAGTCAGTCAAGCAATCGCTTCTGAATGAATTCACACAAACTATTTTGAAATACAACAAAGAAGCTATAAAAAAAAAAAAAAAATATATATATATATATATATTTGTTGTATGGCGTGAAAATTTTTTGCTGCTCCGCTGTCGTTGCTGTTATTAAATGGGTGGGTGGTGATGGCGCACGAAATATACTCGTAGTTAGTAAAGTAGCGAGTGAGCGCACAGAATTGCGAAGCGTGTGCAGAGGCGTGTATTATTTAAATGGATTCGTGTGGTTATTAAGAAATTAATAGCAAATAGTTTATTTTGTTTATGTAATAAAAAAGTACCTACATACGTATTTAAGTATGTACATATGTATATTTATATGTAAAATTGGTTACTTACATGCATTGATTGGGCTTGTCGCAATGGCCGTGTTCGCAGCCTTTGGTGCATTCGGCTGTAATGAGAAGAGAGAAAACGAAGAGCGGGGAATTATTTATGAGTAACAAATATGTTGCAATATAAACCATTAAATGAGCTTATAAACCTAAAAAATTATTCGAGTATCTTAAAAATCTAAAAGTAACTATCTAGGGCCGTTACTCAAGTATGTATGTAGCTTTTAAAATTTTATGTGCAGACTAATTTTATACTACTGAGAAAACGGTATCTACTTAAAGTTACAGACGCATCTCTTAGATATTAAAGTATAGGTAAGTGAGTAGTATATCTAATATGACCAACCATACTCCTTTCGGAAGTACAGTACTTCTTTTTTAGCTCTTGTACTTCGTACATCGTAGTACAGTCAAATATACTTCTTTGCAATATTTTATACTTCAGGTCCTGTACTTTTCCGATCTTCTGGACGATCGTCACATGGCCTCGGCGATAAATTCGTTCAAACCCTTCAAGTCAAAAGTGCGCAGCTGCACTGCTCTGGAGGTGTCCTGCAATTGGTTGGCTCCTATTTGTTCGAACTGCGTAAGGACCGGGTACATCCCCAAGGCTTGGAGGGTAGTCAACGTTGCGGTCATGCCGAAGGCCGGAAAAGCCTTTCCCTGTTTCCCCTAGGTATTTCAGGCTTATGAGTCTGCCTTCGTTTTTGCTAAAAATGCTCGAGAGACTGATAGACCTGTACATAAGAAACACCATTCCTCGTGACTGTGTTTCAAGAGCTCAACATGCTTATTGCAAGGAAAGGTAGGTGGACCGCGGTAAAGTGGTTAGAGGAAGCCTTCTCGCATAAAGATTATGCAGTAGTGGCCTTCCTCGATATCGAGGGGGCCTTCAACAATGTCACTCCAGAGGCAATAGTCCTGTCTATTGACAATCTGGGAGTTGAAACCAACCTAACAAGGCTTATCTACAGCTTACTTCGTGACAGTCGTAGCGAAGTGTGGGAGCGCCTGCACTCAGCGCAGAGTCAAAAGGGGAACTCCGCAAGGTAGTGTTCTCTCTCCCCTATCCTGGATTGCCGTTGTAAACGAATTCTAGAGGAACTGGAAAAGTGGGATGTCGGGGTGATCGCCTATGTAGATGATGTGAAACTTTTGATTGGGGAACAATTTCTAGACACCCTTTTTGATCTGGCTCAGATTACCTGAATCAGGTAACTAGGTGGACGATCAACAGCCGCCTCGAAGTAAATCCCAGCTAGACATAGCTGGTATTGTTTACCAGGAAGGACAAGATATCCGAGTGGGGGTTTTCGCTAATCAGACAGGGTCAAGTACTTATCCTTGATCCTGGGTAGGAAGCTGTCGTGAAAGCCTAACATTGAGGAAAGGGTAAGAAAGGCGTCGGTTGCCTTGTACTGCTGTAGGGGAGCTATCGGTAAAATGTGAAGCCTCTCGCCCGAACTACTTTATTAGCTGTGTGAAGGCAGATTTAAGCCTATCTTGTTTCACGGAGCCCCTGTCTGGTAGGGTAATCACTAGACAAGGCTACACTTGTAAAACAACTGGAGCGTTTACAGCGGAATATTTCCATTTTAAATAATCTCATAAGCAATAATAGCACAACTCCAATATGAGAAATACTAAATCCTCATATGTCCTTCCTAGATATTATGCATTTGTTTACCTACATATATTCTCAAGATACGACTGCTCACCCAGACTTTTTAATTATTAAAGTCTTCACAAAACTCAAATAGCATAATTATCAACAAAAAATATTTACCAATGATTTTCATTGCAAACTTCCACCATTTGTCTCGCTTAAAAGCGTCGCTAGCACTTCATTCGCAGCAGTAAAAAATGTTTATTTTTATTCTTTTTTTTTTTCAAAATGTCAAGCAAACATACTGCATCGCTCGTAAAACTTCTGCCCCAGCCAAATCGGCGCTTGAATAATATGCAATTTTTTCCTGCTATAAAATGTTTCCATATTTTTTTTTAATTTTCTCTTCAACATCTTCAGACATTTATAACAAAAAAAAAATCGCGCGCCCCAGCTAACACTAAAGAAATTCCACATTAGTTGCTGTCTGCAGTTTTATGCCTTTTCCGTTGAAAAAACAGCAGACAAATTTTATATCAGCCAGCTAATAACAAGCAACAACAACAGCGGTACATAACATCAAAGCAACGATTTTTCAAATAAAATGCATTTTTGTTTTTGTTGCGACCAACTCAACTCCACAAAATCAACAAAGCAACAACATAAAAAACAACAAACAAGCCAATAGAATACGCACATAAAAATATTACGACAAATGTTACAGCAACAACGAACGACGCTGTCGGGGTGGCGCGTTGGTGTTGGCGTTGACGCGCAACTTTGGAAAATAGAAAGTTGAATGCCAAAGAAGCGAAAAGTCAGAGCGAAGGCAAGTACCCATCAAATGAAAATGCGAAGGTGTAGGTCGCCGTCGTCGTCGTCGTCGTCATTGGCGATTGGTGGAGATGTTGCAATTATTGTTGCCGGGTGTTTTTATTGCCATCGCAATGTAAGCAGTTGTCCATGAGCAACAGCGCGCGATGCGCGGGTGTGAGCTGCAGCAGCGCGCGCCTTAAAAGCTTAACAACTCTCAAATAACTTCCTTAGCGCACTACCACTGCCAACGCCGCTTGTTTAACAACTTTTTAGTTTTAATTGTATGCAACGCAGCAGCAGCATTCGAAACATTCGAAATTGGCAGATACATCATCAATACAACTTGTCCGACTGTGCTGTGCTGTGCCGCCCGCCGCCATGTCGCGGATGTGCATCTGCAGGTGTTTGATTTTTATTTCTGTTTTACGATGGGTTTTTTCAACAACTTTTAGTTAGTTACATATATGTACAGACTTGAGTGTGTATGACACATGTACGACTGTATGTATGAATGTGTGCATCATGTACAATTTGCATGTTTGTTTGCTTTTCTCATACCCATTAGAGTTTGTCTTACGTGTGTTTTATTTGATTTCCTGTGGCGATCTCGGATTTTCATATCTCACAGATAATTTTACGTTTTTTAATTAATTTAATATTTTTCATTCATTTTGTTTTTGCATGTTTTTATTTTTATTTTTTTCATTGTAGACGTGCTTTCGCTACGATTTATTGCCTTTAAGTGTGATGAGATACTTTTATATCTAGGAAATGAATTTAGAAATTAAATGTTTATAGACAAAGCAAGTTGTCCTCATTGTTTGAACGTTTGTGTTTAGCTGTTTTGAGTTTTAGTTACTTACTTTTGTAATTTATAGATACTTTTGTATATCGTTTTGCTGTTACATCGTTAAATTAAATACACTGCATGGGCATTTACATGGCTGTTTGCTTTTAGCGCATATGTGTTGTTATTTACCGTGTCGGACGGTTTGGAGATACTTTTGTAACTAGCAAATATTTACATAAAATCAGAAATTATATATTTATAAAGGCAAAAAATAGTCATCTGTAACGAATTATTTCTTCGTTGTCTGTGTTCAGTCACAAAGTCTCAAAGATACATTTATACCACAAAGCTAATTTTGGTTTTTGCAACACGAATTTCGATGATTTTTAAACATTTTTATATGTTAGCCCAGTTAAAACCTATTGTGAAGCTATTATCTACGTCTGACTATGAAAAGATGTTTTTTTTTATCTGAGCGTTAGATTTAGATATTAATTCTGTAGTGACAGTCGTGATCGCGATTTTAATGTGTCTCTCAGCTGTTATGAGTCGCAGATACTTTTGTATCTCTGAGATACTTTTATATCTCAAGATATTTCTATTCCTAAATGGCTGATTTTTATCATTTTAACATGATTTTTATACATAGTTTAGCTTTAAAACAATCTCGAAATAACAATCATTGTCTGTCCGACGAAAGTAACTTTTTTATCTGAGCAAACATTTTGGAAATTATTTCTGTAGTGACAAATTTAGTCGTGACCCCTGTTTTAATGATTCTGCGAGCTGTTTTAGTGGCAGATACTTTTGTATCTCTGAGATACTTTCATATCTGAAGCTGATTTTATTCCCGAATCGCTGATGTCTATCATTTTAAGATATTTTTTATACATACATATGTTTAAACATAGTCTAGCTTCAGAGTAATCTCGAAGTCATAATCCTTGTCTAACCGGGAAAAGATACTTTTTTATCTGAGCAATAATTCTAGAAACTATTTTTATAGTGAGAAATTGAGTTGTTGTCAATGCTTCAACGCTTCTGCTGGCTAATTTGCAGCGCAGATACTTTTGTAACTTATAAGGGTATCTCAAGATGATTTTATTCCTTAATCACTGAGTTCTAGCGTAACAGCCAATTTAAAGCCGTAATCCATGTCTGACCTCGGAAAGACACTTTTTTTTTTTATCTGGACAACAACTTTAAAAAGTTATTTTTCTAGTGACAAATTTAGTTGTGGTCAATGCTTTCACCATTTTGCTGGCCATTTTGAGTGGCACAAACTTTTGTATATACAAGATGCTTTTATACTTCATAGTCATTTTACGCTGAATTAAATCATTTCACACGTATTAGCACGTTTGCTGAGTTTGAGAGTATCTATTGTATCACAGCTTTATATTAGCTAAAATGTTTCGATTTTTGGAATTCCAGTTATTTTAAGCAATGTTTTTTTTTTTTTTATTGGTCAAAATCAGAAACCAAAATAACTACAACTCGCCACCATATTCTCACACCTCACTCAACCGCTTCAAAGGAATTTCTTTCAGCGCTTGGCAACTTCCTCTTCAAAGCTAAAAAAATCAATGATGTGCTAAAGCAAGAAGTTAGCTAGCTGGCTAGCAAAAAACCCTAACAACAACAATCGATACCAACACTGATCATTGCTGGCAAAAAGGAAACACAGAAAATGAAATAATCTCATGGTCAAAATAAAACGCGATTCCCAAGCCTTTGAGACAGTAAGTGAAACAGACAGTCAGTTAGTAAGCCGGTCGATGAGCCGGCTGGGTTGTTGGAGAGCCAGTCACTAAAAAGCAACCAACTTTAGCGTAGTATAAAAATAC